TTAATGAGAGGTATGGGACTTGCTGAGACCAGATGCTGCTTGTTTGAAAGAATTTAGGAAAACCTGAAGCAGGATCCAAGACAGGCCAATCCTATGCTATGGTAAAGCAACTGGCAACAGCTTGGGTGGGCCTGAAAGTTGGGTGGGGCGGGGCCTCAGGGAGTCAGCAGGGCGGGGCTACCAGTGTGAGCCAGGTTGCTGGAGTCCCAGATATGGTGGCTGTCGGCCGCCCCAGGGAAGGGCTCACCAAAGGAACAAAGGCCTCTGACAGCACGTTTGTCCCGGAGAAAGCCCCTTCTCCAGCCCTTGCTCCAGTGCCAAACAGCTCAGTTCCTCCCTGTATGTCTCTGGTGCCCCTCGAGCTGCCTCCCCTCCAAGCTTAGAGGGAGTGAATCCAATAAGTCCATGCGCGGGCCCTTTAGGGAGCTGCCTGGGGCTCCAGCCATGTCAGCCTCCCTGAACCTCAGTTCCCACTGGTTTTTCCAGCCAGAAGTTATGGGGACTTCCTTCCTGGCACTGGTACCCTGAGCGGGGCACCTGGTGTGGGACGGGGACCCCTCAGTCCTCAGGGAGAACCTTGCAAGCCGAGGTGTCTCCTGATTTTTATCCGCCACACGTGGGTGTGGGACCAGCCCGTCCCCTCCACCCTCCTACCAGTCTCCATGTGGCTGCTGCTTTAATTCCGTAGTTGTAGGACTTCCATTCAGCTCGATTTCAGGCGGTTTTGAATGATGGTTGTTCTGTAGTTTAGTTGTAACTTTGATGTGGTTGTGGGAGGACACTATACCGCGTTTACCTACCCACCGTCCTGACCGGAAGTCAATTATTTATTTTTCAATTACAGTTGACATTCAATATTATATTAGTGTCAGGTGTACAACACAATGATTAGACGTTTATGTATCTTACAAAGTGGTCTTCCCATAAGTCTGGTACCCATCTGACACCATACAGTTATTACAATACTATTCCCTCCGTTCCATATGATGTACTTTATTTTTTTTTTTTTTATTTTTATCCTCACCCGAGGACATTTTTCGATATTTTGTTCAGATAGAGTGAGAGGGAGAGAGAGAGAGAAACATCAACGTGAAAGCGACACATCGAGTGGTTGCCACCCACACGACCCAACCAGGGCTGGGGACAAACTTCAACCAAGGTACGTGCCCTTAGCGGGAACCGAACCCGGGTCTCTCCGGACCGCAGGCCAACGCTCTAACCGCTGAGCCAAACCAGCCAGGGCCCATATGATGTACTTTATATCCCTGTGATTATTTTATGACTGGCACGTTCTTTCTTTTTTAATCCTCATTGGAGGATATTTTCCCATTGATTTTTAGATAGGGTAGAAGTAAGGGAGAGAGAGAAATATCGATGTGAGAGAGACACATCAAATTTGTTGCCTCTCACATGACCTGGACTGGGGCTGGGGAATTGAACCTGCAAGCGAGGTGCATACCCTTGACCAGAAATCAAACCCAAGGCCCTTCAGTCCCAGGGCCAAAGCTCTAACTGCTGAGCCAAACTGGCCAGGACACTGGCACTTTCTTCTTTCTTTCTTTTTTTTTCTTTTTAATCCTCACCTGAGGATATTTTTCCATTTATCTTCAGAGAGAGTGGGAGGGAGAAAGAGAAAAACATTGATGTGAGAGAGACACATAGACTGGTTGCTTCCCACAAGTTCCTGGGAACTGAACCACAACTGAGGCATGTGCTCTTGACCAGAATCGAACCCGAGACTCTTTGGTTCGGGGGCCAATGCTCTAACCACTGAACCAAACCAGCCAGGGCTTAATTAATTCTTAATCATTTCACCTTTCCCCCAATACCCCTCCCATCTGGCAATCATCATCAGTTCTCTGTATCTGAGTTTGTTTCTGTTGTGTCTGCCCATTTACTTTGTGTTTTAGATTCCATATATAAGTAAATTATGTGGTATTTGTCTTTCTCTGTCTGACTCATGTCACTTAGTATAATAACCTCTGAGTCCATCCACTCATGTTTTGCAAATTCCAAAATTTCATTCTTTTTTATGGCTCAGTAATATTCCGCAATATACATGTGCCATATTTTCTTTATCCATTTGTGTATCAGTGGAAACCAGCCTTTTGACTGGAGCATTTCAACCACTAACATTGAAAGGAATTATTGATAGGTATGCAAGCTGGGTGGGGGGAGGATCAACGAAAAAACAATGGCTCTGACCGCACTTCCGACTGGGAGAAAGCTGCTTCTCCAGCCTGGCTCTGAAGGCAGACACCGCAGTCCCTTCCTGCATGTTCCTGGCACTGTTCAGGCTCCTGCCCCAACGCTGGAGCACAGAGCAAGTGCGTGTCAGCGAGTAAATCTGTGCGTGGCCCTTCAGGGACTCCAGTGAACAACCCTCTCTCTCACTCAGCCACTGCCCCTGCCCACTTCACAGCCAGAAGTCGTGGGATTTCTCTTCCTGGCACTGGGACCCTGGGCTGAGGAGCATCAGGTGGGGCTGGGACCCCTCATTCCTCAAAAGGGGACCTCTGCAGCCCCGATATCCACCCCCGACACCATTTCTAAACTAGCACACTCTGAGTGTGGGGGCCTGTCTCTTCAGCATTGCCAGCCCTCCTACCAGTGTCCCCTTGGCCCCTTCTGAATACCCTAAATCATGCAGTCCTCAGGCTGTCCTCAGGGGGCGCTGTTCTGCAGCTTGGTTGTAACGTTGATCTAGTACTGGGGGAGGTGGGTACCGCATGTACCTGCTCAGCCACCTTGACAAAAAGTTCTTCCTTGCAATTTATTTATGGGAAAAAAATCACGTTCTTCGTCTTTTACTTTTGTTCGGTAAATGAGCGGACTGCATCCCAGGGTGTCATTTTACAGGTTCCTCTGCCCCTTGTATTTCCTACAAACTGGTAGCGATGGGAAGCTGCTGAAAACGCACATGTCCAGACCCTACCCTAAAAAATGCTCCAGGTGTGGGTGCTGGGACTCTGACATTCCTCCGATCCCCGGGCGAGTCGCAGGCTGTTTGCCTCGTGTGTGGGAACTGTCAACCCACCCGACTCTGCCAGCAGCCACGAGTCAGCCTCAGTCACAGCAGGTATCAGACAGACACCAGGTTCTATCTCCAGTGCTGGGCAGCGGGTGGTCACTGCAGGGAGAGGCACCAGCTGTCTTCTGTGGGGCGAGCACGGTGTGCCTCCCTCCTCTAACCCCGGTGAGGGAAACTTAGGTGACCAGGACCTGCCATGGCCTTGAGGGTATGTGTCGGGAGGAGCAACAGTCTTGCTGCTGTGGCCCGGAGGACAAGTGTGCCGTCTGCAGGGAGGGTGAGTTCAGCCCCGCCCGAGGGCCACCAGCTGCTGACAGCGCCCCCTTCTGTTCTGGGCTGCTGAGGCAGGTGGGCCTGGGACACAGGTTCGAGCCTGTGCTCTTTCTTTCTGCTGATATTCCGCCCCCCTTCCCAGGACCAACTGTTCCCTTAACGGCTGAGACAGTCCACTGGTGACAGCCAGCACCTCACTGCCACGGCACACGGCAGTCAGAGTGACCTTTCCGTCGTCTTCATCAGACCACTTCACCGCGCTGTTCTGATCCCACCCATGACTCCCGTCACACCTAAGGTCCACACTCCTCACCATGGTTGACAAGGCCCCCCATAGGCTGACCCACACCCACTTCTCCAGCACATCTTCGTTCTTGTCCCGCCCTCCCCTCCACACTGGCCTTTCTGCTGGTCCGGGAACAGGCGCCTCATTCCTGCCTCAGGGTCTTTCATGTGCTACGTCGTCCTGCAGGAACACCCTCCCTCCAGCTCCTACAGGACCCATCGCTCACACCTCCACTGAAGACACCTCCTCCAAGAAGCCTTCCCTGACCACCTTGTGTAACCTCGCACCCCCATCACTCTATCCCCTTCTCCTATTTTACTTTTATTTATAGCAACTACCATTATCTGAAATTATATTGCTGACTTGTTTGTCTCTCGCTTTCATTTGTGGATGCTTTGAGCGGAGGGGCTTCAATCACCTCAGTCACCAAAATATCCCAAGTGACAAGCACAGGTGCTCAATAAATATGTTGAGTACATCAATAGATGGAGGGGTGGATTCATCGATGAAAACCACATTTTCTCAGTCCTGCCACACACACAAACGCGCACATGCACACACGCCTGCACACACACGCACACATACACATGCACACGCACAGGCGCACACACACACACACGCCCACAGGGAAGGGCTCATTGGTTTCAGCCTGAGTCCTGCCCCAATTTGCACAGGAGTCACGGCAGGAGCCACATCGAAGCTGCACCCACGGGTCCTTTTTGGAGGCAGAAGTTCCTACCGGACCAGGTACCCACACGGGAATGTGCTGCGAGGGAACAGGGAGGGTTGGGCCTCACACCGGACACCTGGATTTCAAGTCAGACACTGGCTTTTACAGAAAAGTGTTTTACTGATCAGTAAGGGACCCCATGAGGACAGGTGATCGGCTGGGATAGAAAAGCAGGGGCGCCCTGGGGACAGGGGGTTGCCGCTCCACAGTTTCCAGGGAGCGATCTTCACGAGCCTCCCTGCTCTGCTCCCGGAGCCCCTGACCCCTGGAACCGCAGACGCTTCTTTCCGTGTCGGGCCCCCAGTGTGTGCTGGTGTCCGCGGCGATGACAGGGCCGGAGCCCTCTGGTAGGTGGGGGCGGGGCTGCGGTGGCCACTCTGCACCCTCTCTGCTCCTGGATCCTGGGGGCTCAGGGGGCAGACTCGTCCTCTGCCTAGGGCGGGCCCTGGAGGGTGAGCAGAGAGCACCGGGCTCGGCCAGGCGGCAGCAGCCCCGGGAAGTTCAGAGCAGCCCCCCGGGAACCTTGCTCGGCTCCTGAGCGGCTGTGGAGCGTGGGAGGGGCCCTGGTGAGGGAGGCCCAGGCAGAATGGCTCAGGTGTGGTCGCCAGTGGTGGGCAGTGGTGTCACTGAAGGAAGGGCATTGGCTGTCAGGCTGTTAGACGTTTGTCCTCTGCAGAGCCTTAGTCAGCGAGCTTCTGTGGGCTCGGCCTCTGGCCCCCAGCCTTTAATCGCCGGATTTTGGGGCTGGAGCAGCTGAAGTCTTCATCTGACTCTTCCCTAGCATGATGTCTCTTGACTGCTTGTCTGGGGACTACCTTCTTTGCTTCCACCTTTGCTGGGGTGGCCAAAGGAGCATCCCCATAGGACCGGTAGCCACCGACCAGACAGTAGGTCTCCCCATGCCAGCCCACCTGGGCTTCTCCACACCTTCGGTAGTGGACGTGGTAGTGACCGGGTGTCGGAGGAAAGGTGGGAGCCACAGGTGCTGGAAAGAAAACCAGAACAGGTCAGCCCCCTGTGTGGTCACTGTCCTGCCAGGACATCCCCTCTCAGGCAGGTCCCTCCCCGGTCCTTGCTGAGGCCTTCTAATCAGCCTGGCGTCCAAAACACAGCCTTGGCCCGTCACTGCTGAGCCCTGGAGGAGGGTGCTGACTGCCGAGGCCGTTCTGCGGGGCCCAGGGCAGAGAAGACGACCAGAAAACCTCCCCCGTTCCCAGAGAAACAGAACCCGCAATAAGTGCAGTCAGGACCCCTCCACCTCCCCCACGACAGAGAAAAGGCTTCTTGCAGCCTGTCACCTCTGAGGCTTGAAGGAGAAGCCTTCCAAGTTTGGGGAAAACTAATGTGATACAGATGGGTTTGAGAAACCCTCCCACCTTGGCATCTCCTCTCAGGCCCAATTCATGCTGCAGTTTTCAACCACAAGGAACTCTAGTCCCCTGGTACTTTCTTCCAGATCAGAAAAAGGCCAAACACTGAGGCAGAGTGACCACGGGGTTCAGAGCTGGATTCTGGCCGCCACATCGGGGCTGCATCAACCCAGCCTCCTGGGAGCCCTTTCCTCCGCCCTGAGCCCAGGATCCGTGTCACTCCCCGGGCCTCCTGTCTGCCCACGGACTGAGTCCAGGATCCATGTCACTCCCCGGGCCTCCTGTCTGCCCACGGACTGAGCCCAGGATCCGTGTCACTCCCCGGGCCTCCTGTCTGCCCACGGACTGAGCCCAGGGTCCTCATCACTCCCCGGGCCTCCTGTCTGCCCACGGACTGAGCCCAGGATCCGTGTCACTCCCCGGGCCTCCTGTCTGCCCACGGACTGAGCCCAGGGTCCTCATCACTCCCCGGGCCTCCTGTCTGCCCATGGACTGAGCCCAGGGTCCTCGTCACTCCCCGGGCCTCCTGTCTGCCCACGGACTGAGCCCAGGATCCGTGTCACTCCCCGGGCCTCCTGTCTGCCCACGGACTGAGCCCAGGATCCGTGTCACTCCCCGGGCCTCCTGTCTGCCCACGGACTGAGCCCAGGGTCCTCGTCACTCCCCGGGCCTCCTGTCTGCCCACGGACTGAGCCCAGGATCCGTGTCACTCCCCGGGCCTCCTGTCTGCCCACGGACTGAGTCCAGGATCCATGTCACTCCCCGGGCCTCCTGTCTGCCCACGGACTGAGCCCAGGATCCGTGTCACTCCCCGGGCCTCCTGTCTGCCCACGGACTGAGCCCAGGATCCGTGTCACTCCCCGGGCCTCCTGTCTGCCCACGGACTGAGCCCAGGATCCGTGTCACTCCCCGGGCCTCCTGTCTGCCCACGGACTGAGCCCAGGATCCGTGTCACTCCCCGGGCCTCCTGTCTGCCCACGGACTGAGCCCACCTCCCCCATCCTCAGTGGCTCAGCCTGTTGTGTCGGGTACACACGTGGATGCCGTGTGACAGCGCAGTGACAGTGACCGGGTTTGAGAGCAGGGTTCATGAGCAGCGCTCAGCAATCCTTCCTCAAACCTCTCCGCGTACATTTGCCAACTAAACTGCACTGGTGTTGCTAAGGGCCAGCCTTTCCGGCGGGGTCGGAGCGGAAGCACCGTGCAGCCCGGGGGGAGGCTGTGCCGAGAAAGACGAGGACCTCTGGACACTCTCCCAGGAACCACCGGCCGCGTCCTCCGCAGGGAGCAGGAGCACCGCGGTCTCTGCGGCCCCGGCCACGGTGTCACGTAGAGCTCGGGTAGTCCCAGGTGTGGACAAACCCACGGGGTCACGTAGAGCTCGGGTAGTCCCAGGTGTGGACGAGCCCACGGGGTCGCGTGGCAGCCAGGCCAGGCTGCGTGCACACCATCCTCCTGCATGGCCCGGCCTCGGCCTACCTGCTGCGCTGCTCTTCCAGGGGACCGAGGACAGGTCACACTGAATGTACACGACCTCGTCTATCATCTCCCTCCCTCTCTCTCCCTCTCTCTCCTGATAACCGGACAGATTGGTGTCTGGCGGAGAACCGGTAGGAACACCGTTTCCACAGTTCTCTTGCCATGGAAACCGTGAGGTCATCACTACCCGGTGAGGTCACGGATGGAATCTGTGACTGAGGCTCTCGGGGTGTTGTGGAAAGCAGGCTGGGCAGAGGAGCACCCCGCCTGCGCCCTCACAGCTGCCCCACCCACGTCCTAGTCAAGGACCCCTCCCTTGGCGCCACCTGTGCACGGGCGCAGGCCCAGGACCCCAGGGGGCCAAAGAAGCTCCATTGTGAGCCGAGCGTGAGCAGCAGGATGAGCCACGACGGCGGGTGCGTGGCCTTGGCCCTCAGCGCCAGCACTGGAGGCAGGGACGTGTGTGGCCGGGAGTCAGGGTCCTGGCCGGTGGGCCTGCAGGACAAGGGGGACGTGACCGTGGGGAGGAGGGGAGACATGGCAGTTGGGAAGAGTAAAGCAAAGACAAGCTCTTTCTGACCTTGTCCCGCCTCCAAGGTCAGTTCACAGAGCCCTTGTGCTTTTAACATTGTTTTTTCTATCCTGAGGACATTCTTCCATTCTTTGTTCAGAGAGAGTGGGAGGGAGAGAGAGAGAAAAAAAACATGGTCGTGAAAGAGACACATCGAGTGGTTGCCACCCGCATGACCCAACCAGGGCCGGGGACAAACTACAACGGAGGTACATGCCCTTAGCGGAAACCGAACCCAGGTCTCTCTGGACCGCAGGCCGACGCTCTAACCGCTGAGCCAAACAGGCCAGGGCAGCCCTCGTGCTCTTAGAACCGAGGACTCTGAGGCCGACCCAAGGTCACGCAGGCGGTGGGGGTGTTCTGCTCAAGGGCAGGGCTTCATGTCAGGCTCTGGGTTTACAGCCGAGAGGACGAGGACAGCTCATCACACGTCAAAGGGACACTGGGAGAGATGTCCCAGGAACCCCAAGGCCAAGTGCGGTCCCCAGTGACTTCACAGTGGGGAACGATGGGCCCATTCTTTTTTTATTTATTTATTTATTTTTATCCTCACCCGAGGACATTTTTCCATTTTTTGTAGAGCGGGAGGGAGAGAGAGGAAGAGAGAGAGAGAGAAACATCGACGTGAAGGGACACATCGAGTGGCTGCCACCCGCACGACCAACCAGGGCCGGGGACAAACTGCAACTGAGGTACGTGCCCTTAGCGGGAACCGAACCCGGGTCTCTCTGTACCACAGGCCGACGCTCCAACCGCTGAGCCAAACCGGCCAGGGCAGATGGGCCCATTCTTATACGAACTCGAAAACAAACTCATGACAAAGTGACATAGTACAGAATGCCACCCGTCAGCACAGTGCTCTCCCCTGCGGAAGGACGACCCTGACGGCGCCACCACCAGGAAAGGTGAGTGTGGTGCGGAGCAGCCCAAGTGAGGAGCAGGGCCCGCACCGGAGGAGCTGGTGGTGAAAGATGACTCGGTGGGCAGAGGGGGAAACACACAGCCCTGCCCTCGGGTGATCAGGCCCATGGGAAGGGGTCCTGCTTGGGGCAGCCTTGGGTACAGTGCGGCCAAGGCCTCCCAGCAATGAGAGACCTTCTTTAGGAGGGTCCCTGTTGCTGACCTTTCCTAAGCAAAGGTGGGACGTTTGTTTGCTGGGGCTGTGGCAGCGGCGATGTGCCCAGGAGGTGCCTAGGCCACCATTTTAGGAGTCGGGGATCCCTGGTTGAGAACCTAGCGCCTCCTTTCACGCCTAAGTTGCTTGGGTCAGCACGGTGTGCGTTGGGACCGAGTAGGGACTAAGTAGAAACGACTGCCTTTGGGGAGCGGCAGGAGGTGAGACGTGGAGGGGAGGGCTCCGGGCAGGTGGGTCCTGGCAGGTGGGCCAGCATGAGACCACGCAGAGACTCCAGAGAGAGTACTCGTCTGGGAGCACCCCTCTGACCTGGTGGGGCACCGACACCTTCTCAGGACCCGGGTGGGCCTCTGGGGAATAGCACGTAAGGATCTACCACGTAAGAGGGCTTGAGAGTCCCGTGGGGACTCCACGAAACTATTAAAAACACCTGCGAGTGAATTCTTGGGCCAACCCTCAGGAAACGCCCAGATCTGGAGTGGGGCTCGGGCATCAGCAATTTAACAAACTTCCCGGGCAGTTCGGACACAGTGGGCCATGGATGGTGGCCAAGGTATTGTCCCAGCAGGTGGCTTTGGAGAGCCAAGTGGGCAATATTAGAAGCCGCGCCCGGCATAGATGTGAACGAGGACTGTTCAAGGAGAACAGGTGGACAGTGATTCTGTGAGTGAATCCTGTTGGACAAAACTAGCGTGGTGGTGAAGAGCACCCCCTGGGTACAGACAGACCGGTTCTGACCTACTACTGTGTGATTCTGAGCAAGTTCTTGTGTCCCTCCGAGCCGGTTTCTTCACGTGGCAAAGGGAGTTTGTCTCTACATTTAGTACAATGTTCTCTTCGGCAAAGATTGCCCTGGGCCCCTTCCTGTTCTCTACAACCTGATCCTTTTCTGTGTGCAAGTATTTTTAAGCTGCTTTGTGGAATATTGTAGTTGACTCTCAACTCTTCGTTACTTTAGGCAAAGCTTATATAACATTGCAGAGCCTGGAACCTGGGAGCTAGAGAGGATGTTGGATGCCTATTTTGCCAGTTTGGTCAAACACTGTAATCCTCTCTCCTCTTCCACCGTCACCAAGAAATGGGGAAAGGGAGAGATTGGAAATGCAGCCAAGCAGTACTTCCGTGTCAGTCTGCCTTTGATGCTTTCGCCTGGACTTCCCAGACTGATTTCATCAGGAGGATGCAAGCTATCCATGGGCAGTGTTGGCGAAGAAAATTTCTCTACTGCTAGTCACACCCCTTTTCTTTCTTGTGGGGGCTGAAAGAATGTTTTGGAGCAAGAAATAATATCCAGATGTTTACAAACTGAAACATCAATTGAAACAGCCTTAGTCTTTTGTGTGGTGGTTTAGAGTTTGGAGTTTTCTCAATCCAGTGAATGCAGCAAATCAAAACCACAATGTGGTATCACCTCACCTCTTAGAATGTTAGATATCACCTCACACTTCTTATATAAAAAAAGGAGAATCAAAACAGAAAACAAGAAATAACAAGTGTAGGCGAGGGTGTGAAGAAAAGGAACCCTTGTACACTGTTGGTAAAAACAGTATGGAGGTTCCTCAAAAAATTAAAACTAGAAGTACTATATAATCTAGCAATTGCACTTCTGAGTATTTATCCAAAGAAAACAAAACATTAACTCAAAAAGATCTATATGCACCGCCTGCTCAATGCAGCATTGACTGCAATAGCCAACATGTGGAAGCAAGCGAGGTGTCCGTTACTGGACAATTACATAAAGAAAATGTGGTGCATATGTACAATGGAATATTACTCAAAAATAAAATGAATGAAATCTTGTCATTTGTGACAATGTGGTTGGACCTAGAGGGTTTTATGCTAAGTGAAAAGCATCAGAAAGAGAAGAACAAATACCTTATGATTTCATATATGGAATCTAAAAACAAAAGTGAATTTAAAAAAAAGCAAAACAGAAACAGACCCATAGATACTGAGGACAAGCTAATGGTTTCCAAAAGGTAGTGTAAGTGGGTGGCACAGGGCTAAACATGCCCATGCTCTTAACCAAGCACCAAGAGAGGGGACAAGGATGCTGGGCAGGCCAAGCAAAGATGTGTGGTAAACCCTGCCTTCTCTAGAAGTGTAGATGAGTTTGAAGTTGAACTCTTTTATTCATTATAATCCAATTCTGAAATTGTTCCTAGTCCTTTAGAAGAGAAAAATTTAAATGTGTACAGCCTGGCCTGGTAATATTGGGGGTGCCTAAGGGATCAGGTGGCAAAGAAAATGAGCATCCCTGCTGCCTGCTCTCCACCCACGCACCGGTAGGGGGCAGCCAAGAACCCAGAGAGCAGGCTGCCACTTGGAGCCATCGGTTCTGGCAGTGGTGCCCCCCAACAAACTAGGAGCGGCAGGAAAGACCCCAGATGCCAGTGGAGCACCCTGGGAGGACGAAAGGAAGAGGGACAGCCCGAGCCTGCTCAGAGGCCATCACCCAGGCTTCCACGCAGGGCTGCCATTCATTTGGTACACACCATTGCAGCCCAGTGAAAGATGGTGAACAGCTTCTGTTCAGAGCCTGCTGTGTGTCACCTACTGTCCTGACCCCTCCCCCAAGGTCCCTGCCATTGCATCAGGATTTAGTGTCCGGCTCAGCAGGGGTCCTCTGGTCAGCATCTGGTTGGTTATTTTCTGTGCTGTTAAATATCTGTCTACTGCTAAATATTTGAATATCAATACCTACTTCATAGGAAATAGGAGCTGAAATCTAGGAAATAGGAGCTAGAAGATTAAATTAAAAAGTAAATATAGCCCTGGCCAGTTTGGCTCAGCAGTTAAAGCATCGGCCTGCGGACCAGAGAGTCCCGGGTTCGGTTCCCGCTAAGGGCATGTACCTCAGTTGCAGTTTGTCCCTGCCCTGGTGGGGGTCGTGTGGGTGGCAGCCACTTGATGTGTCTCTCTCACATCGATGTTTCTCTCTCTCCCCCCTCCCTCACGCTCTATCTGAAGATAAATGCAATCACTGCAAGACAATAAACGCTCACTATATCCTATTTTTTTTCTCTGATCTGTACATTTCTCAAGAATGAGACTTTAAATGGAAACATTTTTCAACCTTCAAGACTCTCTTATTTTCCCTAATTTCATTCTTTCTTGAGTTCATTTTGTTATAAAGTATGTGCCTGCTACTTTGTTTCTAAGTAAATATTAATCCCCCTTTAACTTCGAACCTCTGGAAAATTCTCAGTTCAGTGTTTTCAGTGCCATTGTGACAGGTCCCCATTTTTTCTTCCCTATTTATGGTTTTTCCCTTTTGGGCAGGTTTCCTACAGAACACTCAAAAATTACAAAGAGAAATATCGTGCTCTGAAAATTCATATGAGCATTTTCTCCAGTCATC